GAATAGTTGATTACTGGACAGTAAACTGTCATGTAATCCGCCCATTGGGGGCAAGTCCATAAGGACACATGTAAAAGTATAGCATAAAATGGGGACAAGCCAAAGAAGTAGTTCAACTTCCGTTTCGCACGTGCCCTAGACGGAAGTCAAACTTAAGAAATATTCTCCCTCCGTGCTCTTCAGTAGTATAAGGGAGAACAAGAACTTATGAATGTTATATATATTATAACAAATAAATATTTAAACAATAAGTATAAAGATATAAAATGCAATGGAGTTACTAAATTAAAGCATTAAAGCATCTAGCTAAGAAACACTAAAACGGAAGAAACCAAGGGACTAGGCTATTAAGAGCAATATAATAAATAACTGATTATGGATCTTATAATGTAGAGTATTAGTATGTTCTATTACTTATAGTATCATAATATGTGTTTAAAATTCTAATGAAATAGCTTAATCGGTACTTATGGGTTATAAACTTATTTCTAGCTAAACATTTTATAAGGCCCGTAATAAAATCCCATGATGTTAAACAGTCAGTTCTTCCCTCCTACATACTGCCGGACCACCTTAACGAATGAAGTCAAGTAGTACGTCTAATTTAGAATCTCTTGTTTTAAGAACCTTCTATAGAAACGTTAGTATCTGGCTGACTATGGAACTGATACTATTGTACACGAGCTCATTAGAAAGAAACAGTTTTATCATTATGCAGGGTCTGTCTATATCCTAAATCGTGGTTCTAGAAAAACCCCTTGGTATCATTATACCCAGAGAGTGGGGAAAGCACATCGTACGGATGTGGTTTGATTAGATCACTCTATTTCTACTTTTTGGAAGGAATACTGATTGAATCGGTTCCTAAGAGGGGCGAAAAGAAGCTCACCAATGTCATTAAGCAGCAGCTGTTGATAGGAATAATGTTCTGTCTTCTTCAAATCATCTATTCAAATTGAATAACTGCTTCAGTCTGTAGGATATGGAGACGGGGTGTTGGGCCAGTCACAACCAGCAGCATCACTCTTTTTCACCAAGTAACATCTACTTTTTATCCAAGATGAGGAAAAATGTTGCTGATCAACTGCCACTATGTGTTCCTCGATGTATTCACCTGCAGAGAAGATGAGTAAGTACTGGAGTCAATGAAGTAAGTAATGAGTAAGTTTCAGCGAAACTTAGGAAATAATTTTTGTATGCGAGAAAAACCAAATATCATGTTGTGCGGAAATGATCTGCCAAAAATTTACCAGAATCCAGGCTTATTAATCCAGAGTTTTCTGGGAGCTCCTATAGAAATGTTATAAAAGGACACAGAAATGCTACAAAAAGACATTACTTGCGTATGCGGATAACATATCAAGAATTTTCATTTTATCGCAAGTTAGCAAGACCGAAGTTCGCATTTGACCACCTATCTGGTTGGAAATCGTTTGAACGAGGTGTGCACGGGAACGCGCAGAAATGGCCTGAAGGTCCAGTAATTGGCACAAGTTTTAATCAGTTTTGGTGGGGTTGGCTGTATTTGGACTCGTAAAAAAGAACGTGTTAGATGGAGGTGGACAGTTCGGTCGTTATATGGTTGAATGAACAAGAAAGCGGTAGCCGGAGATGATATGCGTATATCTGTAGGCGATGCCTTCGCACAAAGAACTTTTGAAAGAGCTCAAAATCCCAGGGGGAATTTGGGATAATGCGAACATTTCAGCAGATACTTCCCGTACAGGCTATTATTAGATTCTGTCTCATATCTACATAATTATCCATTCAGGCTGTTTTGAATGACAAATCTTTTTCTTACCCATCATCTGCGGTTTACAAAGCTGGAGATTAACTAGTGGTAGCTAGATAGTTAAGTTTTTTATCATTTAGGATTAAAAATTGCCGGCATGTCTTGGTGAAGAATCTGAAGTGTAGTGAAATCGCTGATTATAACCGATCCAACTACCCTTCTCACACTGCGCCCAGACGAGAGACTCAACGATAGGGCTACGGTTGGCCCTACATTGAGCGTAGTTTGATGAGCAAGGTAGAAACGACCATGCTTGAACCCCTGCCCCTGCATCATTGCAAATGAATAGAAAAATGCTTCATAGTATGCTCGATGCAAAAAGAGACAGTTGTGCGTTATGATCTATTCAACACACAACCGGAGCACATCAAGTTAATAAGGGAAAACGGGACTTGCCCTCTTACCTAAACATTCAAGTGACGTACCGCGCGATACGATTGTAACGAAGTGTTAAGTGTTACAGAAGGCCCAGCAATGAAAAATTTCTCGCCGCTGAACTCAGCTTTTCCAAACAAAATAGCCGCTGTCAGGAACATGTTCAGTGTTGCTGGGATGATCTGTGCTGGTGATGATGTTCGGAAAGAGTTGCTCAATATGGCACCTTATAGCTCTGTTAGATGGTTGGTGCAGTTTTTCGGCCACGGAAGAATCTGCGTCGAGGGTGGCATTTTGTTGTTGGTTCCCTTGGAATATCGTTCATATTTGATAGAGTCAGTGCCACTACTAGAAAGTGTCCCAAGGGATAGAACCTAAGTAACCTAGTTTTCTTCATAAATGCATCTCTTTCAATTCTAAGCAGTTGCCTGAAACCGACCCTGTCGGTGTCTGAATATTACTACTTCGACTGCTGTCTACGGCCTGCATGAGTGGGCATGAAACTTGATTGCATCATGTCACTGGTCATGGTAGAAGAAATGAGTTTACTGGCGAAAGAGCAAATTTATTTCATGTGGTGGGATCGCTTAGAAAGCGCTTAGATAGCATGAGGAGCGCTTAGGAAACATGAGTCTGGTTAAAAGAGTCATGTGCTTCGAAATCCCACTATTTGGAATTACAGGGTGGGCCAAAATTATGATTACACAGACATCGCATGCCCGGAAACGAATAGAAAGCTAATAAAGCAGACCAGTTCCAGAGAAGTGCTATCATCAATCACCTGTCGTCCCTAAGATCATCGACTTCCTCGAGCGGGCGCCAGTAACGTCTCCATTCGTAACTGTCACGAGCCAGAGTGGTCCAGTGAATCCTCTTCGCTTCAGGGACACAAGGTTCAACATTCCTTTCGTTCAGAGCTTTCGTGAAGAAGTCTGACCATCTCGTTAGCGGCCTTCCTGAAGTTCGTTTGATGCCGGAGGGATCTAGTCAGTAACCGCCCTGGTCCAACGGTCATCACTATATCGCATAACGTGTCTGGCCCACTTGATCTTCAATCTCTTGGCGTTGTGTGTACAGGGAAATTCTGAGCATCGTCCTTTCCAAAGCGCGCTGAGTAACGCTGACAGCATGCTCATCCTACTTTCGTAGAGTCTAAGTCCCCGAGGCGTACGTCAAAGCAGGAAGGACGGCAGTGTCGAAAAGGTGAGCGCGGAGCCAGATGTTCTTTGTCTTCTTCACTACTCCCTCGATATTCTTGAATGCTCCTCACACGGCGCGTTTCCTTCTGCACAGCTCCCGAGCTAGATCGTTCATCATGTTGACTTTCCGACCTGGATACTCATAGCTAGAACATCCGGAAATATTCGTCCCGTCTAGCGTGAAGGGAGCATCAGGTACCGATCCGTTCTTCATGAGCATCGTCTTCGTTAAGCTCAGTCTGAAGCCGATCATTCCACAAGCACTATCAAACTCGGACGGCATTCGTTCCGCCTGCTCGATGTTCGGTGTTATAAGAGATGTCGTCTGCAAAGCGGAGGTGATGTAGGTAGTGGCCGTTGGCCTTCACTTCCAAGTCTTCCCATTCCAAATTACGCATGACATTCTCCAGAGCGGCACTGAAAAGTTTGGGCGAAATAGTACCGCCTTGCCGGACACCTCTCTTCACGTTGACAATGACTTTCTTGTAGATTGGTAAAATCATGGTAAGTTGTCGTACAGCTCACGAAGCATCTTTATATATTGAGTAAGAACACCCTAGTTGCCCAGGGCTTCGATTACCGCTTCTGTCTAATGATGTCGAAAGCTTTCTTCCAATCGATAAACGTAANGAGGATGACACGAGTGAAAGGCTTGTAGATTACGGACAGCAGGCAGATTGGGCGATAATTGCCAATATCGTCTGGATCTCCCTTCTTGTACAACAACACAGCCTTGCTGGTTTTCCACGACGTGGGCACTTTGCATTCCGACATGTACCGTGAGAAGAGCTTAGACAGAGTTCTGATGATAATTGGTGGGCTTGTAAATGGCGAAGCTCCGTCGGGCTCTGCGAATGCTCTTTCCGGCCTCGGCGGCTTCGTCCATGACTGCTGCTTTTCTCTCTTTCAGATCTTCCTTCATGGCTTCACTGCTAACCTTCGCAAGTTCGGACGTTTGTTGATGATTGCCTGTAGCTCGCGTGATTGCACGCTGGCGTATCAGCTCGAGAGCCTCCGAAGAGAGTCCTCTCTTGGATACTTGTAGACCCTATGCTTTCATAGCACTATGAGGGCGATCGACGAGCCGGTTGTATTCTTCGTCGATGTTGTCGATAACGGAATCTTCCTATTTACTCGCAAGGGAAGCGAAGTGGTCTCAGTTGACGGAGGTCTCGGGGCTTCGTTTCCTAAACTTCATAGCTCTCTCTCCATGCACTGAGAGGCAGTATCTAGCGCGGAGGAGACGATGGTCCGATCCCATGTAGAATTTCGGAACAACAGCGACGTCGGTCAGGCAAAATCTCCGATTGAAGAAGATGTGGCCTATTTCATCATGGAAGTGTCCACCAGCTGACTTCCAAGTCCATCTCAAATGAGAGGGCTTCTGAACCTGCGAGTTACCATGAATAGTGTGGGTCGAAATAATGAACTCGGACAGCCTTTCACCCTACTCATTCCATTCCACTCCGTGAGTCCCGATGTGAAGCTCTTAGACCGTTCTTCTAGGGCCAATCTTGGCGTTAGAATCACCGACGATGACCTTAAAGAAAGTGTGGTCTTCTCTGTAGAGCCTCTCCAGATTCGAGATACAATGTTCTCCCTTCTTCGAAAGAAGTCCCTCTCCACTTCAAGAGTCACAGATCCATATAAAACGCTTCCAACTCCTCTCCTTCGTAGCTCGATGTTGGTGCGTAAGCAACGAAGATGGTTAGAGCTGGGATTGAGCCATATCTTCTTAATCGCAAACGTCCGATTCGGGTTGTTAAGCTTTCGTACGAATCGATATTCCTGGCCAAGTGCGTATTGACGAGGACACCTACGCCGCGGACGCCTCTGCTGTCGCATGTTCCAAGAAACAGTTCTTCTCCAGTCTCAAATACAGCGTGCAGCGCGCGATGCCTTCTCGTCTCGGTCAGTCCGATGACATCGTACTTGATCTTTCTAGCTTGCATCACCAGTTCTTCTATACACACTTCCGATGCAAGCGTCCGTGCGTTGAAGTCTCACCATCTCAGTCCTTCTCCTTTTGGGCAGCCTGTTTTGGCCCTGAGATTATAGCAGCCTCTCCCGGACTTTATTGTTTGGTTTTGTTTTGTTTCTCTTATCGAAATAGTACGCTGAAATTGGGATCTGTTGCTTTCTGCTTACACCCAACCCAACAGACAACGATGGGCAGCATTGACGGTGGCACGCAGCTAAGGTCACCGGGTTGATCCCGGATTTTTGCAAGGCATTTTGGAGATTATATCCCTTCTTGTTTAGGCTAACGAATGCTTTGACCTCGAAGACTGACCACACGGAGACATCCATGGGATTTGAGTGAGGGCTCGATCGAAGGTTGTGAAATTAGAGAACCTCTTTTACGAAGTTTCTAGAGAACTTCTGATCTGCAATCAGGAGCTTCATCTTAACAATATGTCCTGTTTAAATCGCCAGTGTCCTATTACGCAAGAAGAGATCGAACAGGTCTCCGAATCAACTTTCACTTCTTGATTTACAAAATAGTCGGTGCCTTCGCCTCGGCGGTGATGCTAGCAGAAGCCATCACAGAAAGTTAGTGAGCATGGACTTTATCACTTCCATTTCTAGAGCTTCATATAAATCTTGCCGCGCTACTTATTGAGCACCTTTTCCACCACGAAAAGCTTTTCGTCATTGAACAGGAATTCCGTACGACAATTCTTTCGGATGCGGCGGGGCAGCTTTCGCTAGCCGAACTTTCTCTTCTCTTTAGCCTGTTCACTTGAAAATCACTTTCTGATCGTTCAAAGTTCTTCTTGTGCAGATGATGCTTTACGAAAACTTTGTAAGATATCATTCAGCCATTTTGGGGCTTGGAATGAATTTCGCTGCTACGTACACCTTCGCCATGCTTCCTTTACACTCCCTTTAAATATAATCGCAGGCCTCTTAGGTTTACCGCTCCTGCAATTGTTTCCAACTCTCGAGAGCGTCTTGTAGTTGAATGTACCACCTTCCTTGTTACGCTAAGTCGCCTGTAGATGCATCGTGCCAAAAGTGCTTGCAAACGCAAAGCGGTGTTTGATTCAAGGGGTAGTAACGCTTACATTATTTTCAAAATCTGCCAAAAGTTTATTGAAAGTTTAGTACCACAACGAAGGTAATGAAGTGATCTACCTTGTGAAATGTCGAAGAAATCGAACGAATTGTTATAAACACAGAAAAAATTTGCTGTGAGCGTCACCGTGCGCTGTAATCATAATTTTGCCCCACCCTGTATAACGGAGGCGACTTTAAAACAGCCGTGGAGGTGAAGGTACAGCCGAAAAGCTCGGAGCGTCTAGACACCGTAATCAATCTGAAAATGAAGGAAGGAAAAAGGAAGGGAAAAAAGCATTACAGTTACGCGAGAACCAACGCCCAATTGAAGGTTGGTCCTCTATGAATCTCAAATGAGTCACAGTAATCTTGAGTAGAGATCAGGCCCAACTGACAATGGTCAAGTAATGGGCTGTTTGGGGGTCTCAAACTCCCCACGAACATACAGGTAGACCTTCTTGAGGCTACGTGCTTCCGCGTTCTGGAGTTTCAATGAGGCTGGGGGAGGTTGTTCAAACAGTCACAAATTTCCAGGCAAGCTATGGAGGAGGCAATCCTCCAAAGTGCCACTGTAGTAAAGCTCGCATACATGAACGAAAACTATTCCGTCACACAGTATTTTTTCCAGATTCACAGAAAGCCGTGCGTGAAGACTATTTCGCAACATGCCGAAATGATGATGTTTTTAGATTGTAAGTAGATAAATATTTGAATTCGAATCATGCTGATTTCTTGAGGGTCTCTAAGATTTGGTGATAATGTTAAAAGAAGCAACTGTGTCGAATTCTCAATACCAGTGAAGCTTTATTTTAGAATTCTGGTCCACTATTGAGTCCCCATCTTATTTTAAGAGAGAGATGCACTTTCATGAAAGAGGAATTCATTAGAGCATGATATACAGAGGTCGAACATCCAAGCGGTCGGGTTTAGGTAAGTGCTGCTGTTGTTTCGCCGAAAAGTAGTCGCGTCTCCCACAGCAAGGCTTTTGCAACAGAGCCCTTAACCACCGAAAGCAGGTGCCAACCTTTCCCCGGAGCCGTTGTGGATGAAACTTGCGAACGCAGGACAATCTAGAATGATTCGTGAATGTCGAGCTTCTTGATCTCTTCTTATTTCTCACACATGATTCAGAATATTCACTCAGCCCACAGTATCGATGCAGAGTACTGTGAATATAAAACGTACCGGTCAGAAACGTTAGCAGATTGAATACGGCTGAGCAGATAAGTATCTGGCGTAGCAGGCACATGTCTGGAAGCAGCAGTGAGAGCATGGCAAGAGAGAACATTTTATTATCCCTCCGGATGAATAACGAAAACTCAAACAAAGCGAAAGTTTAGAGCAAGAAAAGGAGGGTGCAACCACTACAATAATTTTTGAGAAGTCCACAGAGGAAGCGGAATCAAATAACGGGGAATTTTGCATTGGAAAAAAAGAATAAACGCAAGACAAGCATTAAGGTTACAATGGGAACATCGTGGGAGGCACGGTCTATCCTATATGGTATGTGTATTGCACTATCGTTTCCTGCTTATTTACTACAGTTTTCCTCTTTGTCGCTTTAGCTTGTTACTCTTGATTGTTCTAGTGCCATACACTCTATTTTGTTTTCTATATGTTCAATGTTCTCTACACTAGGTACTATTTTGATTCTGAATTGTTGGTTGGTTTGCTTTATAGTTAAATTTTGCTTCATATCCTAGTTGTTGCCAAGCTTGAGGCTCTGGTATTTTTGGATAAAAAGTGGTTGACACCTTTCACGAGATGTGGTCGACTACATCCGCGCGGCACGATTCGACCTCCACCCTTTTTTCCCTTCTCTTGATGCATCGGCTCAAAAGAAGAAGAGCCAAGGTACGGATTCGTGGGAAAACCATGATTTTCATCATTTGTCGCTGTACAACCTTTTACTATTGTTATCGAAGAAAACTAAATTATTAGATTGTTAATTCGCCATGTCCGAACCTACAACTCTGAGAACTCAGAAGAGACTAGGAAGCAGTCACAGCAGGACCTGAGACCCGTTTCAGATAGTGCCGAGGCGATGGTATCAAGGGAGTGGTCTAAATATACGAGAGAAGAGACTTACCAATCAGGCAGTGAGCAGGCATCAATTTTCAAACCTTAAAGCGACTCAGAGTTGGTTTGAAATCTTTGTCTATACTTATGGCTACGACCGACTCACTAGGCGAGAGTCTGAATGAGAAACATGAGAAGCAATTACAGGAATATATCGATTCAGCACAGTCTTCGCTCGATCGCGCAAACAGTGTGGCAATTCAAAGGGATGGTCATATACGCACGGCTCGCTATCAGACTCTTTTTACGGAAAATGATACGGCAACATTTTCAGGAACCCCAGGAGTGGCGCTTCTCAACCCCTATATTTTCGGGTAAGGTATGGGACAAAAGAACTTTTAGACTCTTTCCTGCTCCAACGTGCATGACCAGCACTTGACAAATCTGCAAACATTTTATTAAATGTTAAATGCTCCAAGTAGAAAAGCACGTGGACTAATGAAACGATACTCGGTAACGGAGAACAACTACGACTGCAGTGGAATGGCTGTTGAACAAAAATGTGGTGACTCTTCTAATCTAGTTGATCGATTACAAGGACAGAAAATGCCGTCTAGAAGCGGCAAAAGCAGAGGACTTCACGACTTTCTCATAGATACTCGGCAAAAGTATAAGATACCAAGACGAAACGGACATGATGTGCGAGAGAATAATCGCGAGGAACGCCATTGGCTTATTAACTTGAAAAACACAATTATCACCTTAAAATCACAACTAGATGCAAACTCACTCAAAGCAGAATAATCCCTCCAGACAAAATGGAAGAGACCTCAGGGACTACGACAACCTCAAACCAGAATTCGACTGCGTGAGGAATGCCCTACCGCATCTATTATGTGAGCATATAACGCGAACACGTATATGCTCACATAATAGACGTACTCTCAAAATTCACGCCATAAAGACATCCATTACCAACTAAAGCGCACAAGTGGACAGAGTGACTGTTTTCTTCACCTAGAACTGTTACAAATAACGTCTCGGAACACTCAATACCGAATTCTTCTATATGAAAGGCTACTAGATGACCTATTGATCTACATGAGACTCATGGCCGCTACAAAAAACTCCGACAAAAAAGCATGAACCGAAATTATGGCCCAGCCTCTTCCCGATGTTGACGAGAAACCAATCCAAACTGATTTGTCGCAGGTGAAGCAAGAAATTCAGCTCTCAGGGCTCATCTAAGGGCTTAGAAATACTTCTTAGGCGGTTATAACTATTTACTTGAGAAACAATTTTTAGGCGGTTATAACTCTTTACTTGATGAGAAAATCGAATAGTAGAGTAGAAGTTCGGAATAAAGGTGTTATCGTAACCAACATTCAACAAGGGGAAAGCTAGACCATTTACACAGCCATCTCGGCCAATGGAATACGGTTAGGCCTGGCTAGGCGTCTCACGCGACCTCGGTCTTCAACAACGAGTTGATTCAATTACCCATATTATCCAGACTCTGAGCATTCCGACAATAAGAAAAATGAGGCAGAAAAGAAGATTTCGGACGATGGGACGTAAATCAACGCAGGAGAGGAATGGTTGATGGATATACCTAGCCTGGTGTATCCTAATGAATCTATAGACTCGGATCGATCCACTGAAAGTCGGGAGTGTTGACCTTCTCGAGTCCCTATTCTAAAACGAAGTGAAGGTTGATCTCAAGAGGCGGACCAGCAGGCAGTGGAAATCGAGAAGATGGTGGAAGTAGACGTGGTATTGGAGGGAGAAGAGGAAGTGGACCCGGACATAGTAGTGATCCCACAAGGAAATCAGACTTCGTGAGAAAGCGTCAGTTAGACCCTGCAGACGAGAA